ATTTAATTAAGGTAATTGTGTTTTTCTTTTATTTTGTTTTTCTTTTATATGCTCTTATGTTGTGCTGTTGTTTCTTCAACAATAATTTTCTGTTTATCTAATTTTTAATTTACATATTTATTTGTTAATATTTATATTTCTTTTAGGGGAAAATATAAAAGATAGGAAACAATGTGACCTGAGACCTGATTGCTGCCTAAATTAAGTAATAAAAATGTATTGCTGCAATAGCCTTAATGCTAATAGAAATGCTGCAACATAACTATATATATTGAAATAGGCTTTTTTTCCCATTTATTTGACTGTAATGATAATAATTTAAATTTAACATTTGATTTTGACTCTCTCTCTCTCTCTCTCTCTCTTCTCCTCTCTCTCACACACCACACACCCCACACACCACAACACCACGCACACACACACACACTCACGCACACACACACTCACGCACTCACACGCACATTGGACCATGGACCTGTCAACGTCATATCCTCCTTTGGCTTATCCAACTGGGAGATTGTAGATCTCTATCAAAGTAGCCTCTGTTAAATACAACACAGACAGAGGCACCGCTGCTTTCAAAATAAAGGTATAAAACGTGTCAGCAGCTGGGGATCACCCCCTCTACTATTTATTATACCTCCTCTAGGAACAGCTCTGCCACAGGTAGTCCACATGTGTGACAGAACTTCATTTTACGTTCAATGATATATCGTTTATAACTAAGTTTCTTAATAATAATTACCAGATAGGACAACTGATGGAGGCTAGGAAGACAAGATAAAAAACCCGAATGATCCCTCAGGACTAATTGAAAAAATTAAAGATACACTAGGCTACAACAGCTAGGTATCTACTACTAGCTGCAATACAATAATGGTAAGTTTTACCGAAGGTCCAATTTCAAACACAAAATGTATGAAAACATGTTTCAATTAAAGCTTTAGTTTGAAAGTTGAAAGCGGAAGTGTGGCTTATTAGCTAGCTTGATGCTGATAAGCAGCAAGTGGCAAGTGCACCAGCAGCGAAAGGAATAAGCTTGTTTTCACACGTAAAAACCTGAAATATCTTAATTAACAGTTTATTCACATTTCGTGTCAGCGTTTGAAGCTAATTTAGTCACTTTCTGTGTGTAGTTTTTCCAGGAACCGAGGAGCGACAGCGAGTGTCAGAGGAACATTACCGAGTTTATTAAAGGCTGCGGGGCTTTCGGTGTGGAGGTGAGTGAACATATCAATAATGTATATTTATTAATGCACTTACACAGTATGAAGCCTGTAGAACAGATTGCCTCTTCCCAACACAAACCTATTTAGCGTTTAAACCATCCTTTAAAACTTCTGTATGCTGCTGTTTATCTGAGTCCTTTATACTGTTGATGTTACTCCTATTTACGGTATTGTAGTCAAGAGCACCTGAAGGTATCGTTTAGTTCACAATCTTCATCCTTAAAGGACCCCCATTGAGTAAACTGACGACCCCTGACTCAGTGACATATATATATATATTATGGATACTTCATATTATCTTCAAAACTGTCAATTAAAGTAACCCAAATAGTGAATTCAGTAACTGCAACAAGTTGGAGTTAAATGAGTGATTTGGATTCATTTTGAACAGATTGTTTCCTGTTACTTTTTATACAATTCTCTGACTGTATTATGTATTTTTTAAACTTTTTGTTTTGTTTTGTTGTCCCTGATGCTTGGCCATTGTTCTATTAAATAATTTGCTTCACAGAAGACATATAGGTCATATTACATGTGACATATAAGTTCTCTAGCACGCCTCCACACTTAAAACCAAGAAGGCCTCATGACCCCCTATGAAGCTTTGGCCTTAGCAGGGGTCCCGACCCCCAGGTTGGGAAACACTGATTAAGTAGGCCTAAATATGGCAGAGGCAGGGCAGGATATGTATTTTTGGATATATCTTTATAATGATAAATGAAAATACAAATACTTTGTCTATGTGTAGTTGATTTGATATTTTAATTTCAGAAATGTTTGTTCATCAGGCATTCAAACCTCGAAACTGATTGATTTAGCTGTGAATACATATGTGACCTCCAGTGAGTGATTCATAAGACAAACAGACACTGATGTAAGTGAGTGTTACTCATATCTTCAGAAACAAGTGTTAATTTGTGGCTCTATTAATGGTTAGTAAGCATGTAGGCCTAATAGTCCTTCATGGATCAGTAATAAGCCATTGATAATAACAACTCTTAGGTGGCCAGGGCGTGAAAAAATATTGATATTGGATCTATTGGCAGAAATGGAATCTAATATTCATGTTCTTATTAGTGTATAATCACCTGAATATAAGAATCAGTGTGTTCGCCACCTTAGAAAAATGAGCTGTTTTTATCTACAGAGTGAGCTGGTCCTCTTCTACGGAGTCCACCATGTTTCTAGCAGTAGGCGGAGAACAGACAAACGCAAAGCATGGCTCTAATAGACTTCGACACTTTTGTAGTTTCTCTACAGCTTGGAAGCAGGCGTATTCAGTTTCTTGCAGCTTGTAACTTCCATCTAGATCCACTAAATCTGGTGCTTCTAGCTCTCAAATCTGTACTTATAAATGTTATAATATAATACAGGTTTTAATCAGAATTAGGTTCAGGTAAGTAGCGCAATTTATCACTGACACCGCAAACGTTAGTCCATTATACCTTAGTTAAAGGCCTGTATAATAATTTTCTCACGATTTAAGTTGTACGGTTGCTTTTATACAAGAAAAGGGGGGCATATCGCTCACATAACATGGCTGGGCTATATTGCTGGAACCACTAATTGTGTATTTGCAATGAAGTTACGTTAATTAAGACGGCCAACTAATAACAGGAAATGAAGTTGGTGTTTCCATAAGATGTTTTTAACCTGTAGGTTAAATGTAGGATTGTTGACGAGGATGAGTTATGGTTCACTTTGTTGGGAGTCGCTGGAAATAGATAATTGAGCATTGGGCCTTGTCTTCTGTATTTAGGATACGTAGTGCAGTCAGCTGGGCGTGGGTCCCCTTTGAAATGAAGATGTGATACAGATAGCAGTTTTGTGATCAATATGTCTAGAAATTCTGAATGCTCTTTTCCACTTTGTGGAAGCACCTCAATACGCTGAAAATTGTTGGGGCAACACAAACTTTCAAATATAGAAGTGGAATATTGAAATCATACAGAATGAGGCTGTTGGGAGCGTTGTCTAAAATATATCTGTATTGTTAATCAGCAGTTCAAAAACACGTATTATGGTGTGCCCTGTGTCTGTGTTGCACAACAGTGGGTCAAGCCGGTTACTTCCTGCACACCTGTGGTTGAGAGAGGGGCTAGTGAGTAGAGTCGGTACAAAATACAACCCAAATCTCTCTCACACAGCACACACACAGCACAGCACTCGCAACACACTATTATCTTAGCTGTGGAAAATGGAGCGTCATATTGAAAATGAGCTGGTTTGCAACCAGGTCTCTGGCTGTAGACCTATAACAAAGATTTTGCTCCAACTTATGTTTGTCCTGAAAGCCCAATCGTAGTAATGAGAGAGGGGGGGGTGGGGGGGCTTTCTTGAATGCGAGGCAAAGGAGCAAAGGAAAGAGTTTGAAAAGATGAAATGGAGGAGACGGAGAAGGGTGGGCTGATGTAATGCAACAAGCCAGGCAGCCAGTGGATTTTCCAATCAGGTTGATTAGAGGCATGTCAGCCATGTTGCTGGAAGCCAAGGCCTCCATTACCAGCAGCCTGACTGACATCAGCGTAGTAATTCTCCCAGACAGTCGTGGGACAAGCAGAGGACGAGCCAGACTGCCTGTCCGATAGAGGAGGATTACAGAGTGGACGACAAGTGCCAGTGTGAGCGTGGATGAGTTCTCACTCCGCGATTAACCGGAGCTACACTATTAATCAGAGCATAAATTTGGGCTTTTGCTATTTATGAAACTTAATCGGGTGGGTTATTGATTCTCCGCGTTTAGAGTGCCCTCTCGGCGGCATTAAATCAAGTGCTCCCTTCTATCAGGTAAGCTGTTCTGAACCGATCACAGGCGTTTGTTTTAAACATGCAGTGATTATGTTCCTCTCACAGCTGCAGGCGAGAGTATTCTCACTACAGACACAATCTGAACCTAACTGCATTTAAGATTAGTTAGTTATTAATAGCTTCTGTTTGGGTGCGAATTGCAGCAGCATTTATATCATGTCAAATCTGATTTATATTTATTTTTAAGAAAACACTCATGTCATCAGAACAGTATTCATTTTCATTTAAATATCTGTATATTTAAAGCAGGTTGACAGTACTCTGTCCAAATAACATTTTCAAGTGCAGTAAAACTAACTTATTCTTAAAGATGAATAAATAATCCTCATCATAAATAATCTATCATTTGGATTAAAGGAATCTCATAATACTAATACTACTGGACAGCTCCAGTAGCTCCTGGAATTGAAATTCATGTGCTGAAGCAGAGACATGTACAGGATGAGATGTCCTGAGCCCGATGAGGTCATTTGTCGTTTACTTAATGATTGATTAGCAACTAGATCGTCATGCAAAATCTACCAAATTCTTTAAGGGATCGATAAAGTGCTATCTGATATTTCATTATCAAATGCACTTTTCTCCAATATTGAGGTATAAGATCCTTCCGCGAGTGCTTTTCTTTCTCAACGTTCTACACGTGGTTCTCGGTGTCAGATTTCAGTATTGATCATGTCCATTGATACGTTATTGTACTGGAAGCAGCGGCAGCTAAATACGTAAAATATGTGCAAATGCAACCCCAGCTTTGGTACTTTTCTACTGCAGCAATGGGTAGAAAGCCTTGGCCCAATGCCAGTGGGACAGATGAAAGTGTGTATTAACTGCTCTGACTACTGATCAGCCGTTGCATATAAATCACAGCAAGTGGATTCTTAAAAGCAAGACTATATTAAGGAACTGTGTAGTTTTATCGTTAGATTAAAGTGACCCTATCTGTACAAACATGCGGAATTAACTCTTTGTGGCTGCTCTCAGCATGTACCCTTGGGCTCTTCATTTGAAATAGTCCCAAATCGGGATGTTTCAGCTCTGACTTTCACGCCCCAGACTGCTCCACCTTCACGCCTTGGGAATGTAGAAGTCAGTCAGTGTGTGGTATACATGAGATTAGGGGCTTCAGAGGTATTTTGATTATGGCTGTGTGTGTGTGTGTGTGTGTGTGTGATGGGGAGATTACAAGGGGAAGCTCAGACTTTGAGTAATCCTTCTTCAGACTGCAGTTGGAGCAGGGATGTAAACCCCCACTAAACTCAGTATTTCTTCATTTTCAGGCTAACGTATGTTTTCATAATGTACACTCATAGTGAGTCCTGATGCTGGTTAAATAAGGAGAGTCTACTGTAAAGGAACAAAACTACAATTTGTAAAAAAAAAAAAAAAAAGATTATTTTGTTGCATGCATTCAACTGTATTGTTACAGTGTGTTTTAGTTGTTGTTGTGCTGATGTGTCAGTTTATTATGATCACAAACAGGAAGTCATAGGCCCCTGTGTTTCTGTTTACCACCACATCTCTGTGTGAGATACATGCTTGGAAATGTCAGGGAGAAAGCTCTGTGTCCTTGCTGATGTCATGCTCTATAAATTTATGATGAATGTGTGTACATCTTTCCTGTATCAAACTCCTCCATCATTTATTGCTGTTCTAACATTTATTCTACATCTTTGTTCGGTTTCCTCTCCTTTAGCCTTTTGAGGTCAGTGACCTCCTGCAGGGACTGAACTTCTCCAAGGTCCTAAACTCCTTGGTTGCCCTTAACAAAGCTACTGAAGGTACAGTTATTGTGTGTATGTGTTTTTAAAGAACTTTCTTTTGCTCACCTAACTTAGTTCTTATCAAGTGCTGTATAACCTGAAATTTTTATTCATATTATTATTAAAAGCCGTTCTAATTGTGTAAGTTTATTCTTAGTATGAATATGATTATCCTGCCAGGGTTTATAATGAATTTGAATTGTTGAATTGACTATTAATTGAACCATTGTGTGCAGATTTAGGTGTTTCTGAAGACAGTGTGTGTGTGCCGCACTCCTCAACATTGAGGATCAAGTCGTTTGACTCTCTGAACACTCAGAGTCGCTCCTCTAAACTGCTGCAGCCTCAGTACCGCAGCCTGGTGAGTTACCATGACAACGACGACGACACATCTCGGAAGTAATGACAGTAGATAAACACAGAGTGGGGTTACATATACAGTGCTGTTATTAAACTCAGACATTCATCCTCTGAAGTCCTGCTCTTGTACAGTGTAGGTGCTTCTCCCACTTGGCTTTCCAAAAGGATATGGAGAAAATAAATTTTTATGACTTTATTTTAAAGATTTATGACTATAATCTCAGAATATCAATCAAAAATAAAATAGTTTGAATGGGTTTATGGAAAGCTCTGCTCTGACCACACTAGTAAACAAACATCAGTCTGTTGTCGGATACCCAGCCAGTACATTATGCACAGATTCAGTCAGCTCTGTCTTCCCTGTTCTCCTTTTCCACAGGACATGTCAGAGGGCAGTGGGTTTGGCCACTTGCTGGTCAAGGCGCGCTTTCCCTTCCAGCAGACCAATGAGGATGAACTCTCTTTCTCCAAGGGCGACATCATCAGCGTGAGCCGGCAGGAGGACGGGGGCTGGTGGGAAGGCTCATTGAACGGCAAATCCGGATGGTTCCCCAGTAACTATGTGCGGGAGCTGAAAGGAAGCGGTGGGTGTAGCTGTTGCTTTTCTCAGATGTTTGGCATCATTTATTTCATTATTCAGAACTGTGTTGAAACCCAACTGATTCCTTCTTGCTGTTTTGGTTAAAGCTGTAGGTTTAGTTACCTCTCCTGCTTTCAAATATCACACATACCTGGTTTCTACCACAGTAGACTCAAAGCTACCAATATGATTTTGAATTTCTCAAAGCGTTGACACAGACAAAACGCACACAGAGACACACAAACAGACTTCCTGCACTTCTGTTTTAACTGATAAGTGTGATTTCTTAAGGAAGTTGACTCACTTGCATGACTCTTGAAGAAGTGAAGTCCTGTATACAAATGAGGGATTAAGGGTTTTAATTTAAGGTTTGAAAGCATTAAATGCAGACACATTTATCTTAATGATTGTGTGGATACATTAAGAGAAGAGAGCAAACTATACATAGACAACCAATAAAACTTAATCTTTCAACTTATTTTGATCTTTTTGTCACAAAGATTTACTCATAAAACTAATTGTATTTCAACAGAAATGTGAGATAATAGCTGTGTTTGTAGTTGGTGTAAAGACTTGAGATAAAGGTCATTAAAGGTATTTTGCAGGGTTTTTCTCTTATTTTTCAAACTGTGCACTGCTGAGCTCATGAGGCTAAATGCTGCCTCCTGTGCTCATAAGAGATCCTCCCGGCTTGTTTGATTGTGTCGGTTGTGTTGCTTTCTGAGGAGGGGAGGCAGGAACGAAGGAAGGAAGCTCCGCAAGCAAACAAAGACAGGAAGTTCCAGAGCTGCTGTATAGAATCTCACTTCCTGACTTAAAGCTTGTAGCAGAAAACAAGGACCATGATAACAGGGAGGAATGGTAGACTCTTATAGCCAGTGGGAGTTTGATGTGTGAGATAGCAGATAGCTTGCACTGGAGGGACTTAGCTGTGATTATTTGTCAAGTAAACAGTGGTGAATTGGAAGCTGCACGCGCCTGTTGTCTTGGTTTGCTGATGTAAATCGTTGTTATTCAGACTCAGTTCAGACTCATAAAGAAGATGCACACATAGAGCAGTCTTTGGACTTAGGTTTAAAATCTAGGTAAAGAATACCTCTTTAAATCTTTCATAGTATCCTGATTATCGAAGATACAGCTTCAAGTAGCTCTTTACTTTCTCTATTCAGTCTGATAGGTCTAAAAAGTACATTAAGCTTCTAGCTTTACATTGCATTGTCTCCAAAGGACAATAGTGAACTGAAGGATATGACAGCATGCGTTATTATTGGCCGACCTATGTTGAAAAGACAATAACTAGGACGGGGAAAAGACATGCCATTGTGAGTCAGTAAATTAAAGCATTCAATCATTGCTTGTCCTACATTTTGTAGAATGTATGACAGCAACGTTGCCCTACAGGAAATGTTGGAACTTCATAAAGTAGACATTTTTTCATGTCATTTTATTGATGAGAATGTTCGTCCACCACGAGAATTCTGATTTTTACCTCCGCCGACTGGACATTTAGCCTTGGTGGAGGTCTGCGCTCTTTAAATGCCCTTCTAGTTCTCGTAAGACAATGAAGTGGAAGGTGAACTGTGACATTTTTGTTTTTGTATTTGCTTTTTAAAAAGGTTTGAGTTTTATAGGTCACACACTTTTTATCATGTAATAACGGTGACTAACAGAGAGGAGCAAAACATGTTCCTAAAAGGAACTTTTCAACACTTTAAGTGTAACTGGATGTAATGTGCCTACACCTTGAACTGTTCTCTCCCGCTTTCTCTCTTTATAGACAAGACATCAGACAAGCCAAAGTCTGGGACACTGAAAAGCCCCCCCAAAGGTTTCGACACCACTATCATCAGCAAGACATACTACAATGTGGTGAGCGTCATACTCTGAAGAAACCCTGCGTGTTTGTATTCTTTGCATGCCCATGTTAAAACTGCATTAACTAAACTGTACCAATCATGGAAATCAAAGAAATTCTACATGTTCTCACTTCTATCACAATAGCTACGGGATTGGACTGTAATTCGGGTTTTGAATTTGAGTTACATACATGTTAGATTGTGGCATTTATGGCAAGGATTATTCTATCTCTTCTGGTAGATCTCTAAGGTTAGACTGATGGTTAATGTGTGTCTGCTCTTGTGGACTGTTAAAATCAATTAGTTTTCATCTAATTCATCCAATTAGTGATTGTGTAGCTGTGTGTGTGTGTGTATAAGCATGTGACTGTTTGTGGAGCCTGCATGGCACCCCTGCATCTGTGTGAGTGTGTGTGTGTGTGTGTGTGTGTGTGTGTAAGAGTGCAGCAGATGTAATCTAGGTTATTTTTTCCGTTCCAATGGTTTCTGGGGCAGCCTTGCCTCAGGGTTGGCTTCTGCCAGTGTGTGTGTGTGTGTGTGTGTGTGAGTTACTGTGTGTGTGTGAGTGTGTGTGTGTCTGTGTGTGTCTGTGTGTGTGTCACTTTCCACATCCTGTTGAAGTCAAGGTCACTTCCTGTCTCCATTCAGTTATTGTTCAGAGCAACAGGAGCTAACGGTAGCTAAGTCTGCTAATGTCTACAAACAACACAGATTATAGAAACAAACATTAAATATGTTTGTTGTTTCCAGTGTTTGTTGTTTCCAGTGTTTGTTGTTTCCAGTGTTTGTTGTTTCCAGCAGT